GTCATCGATGCAACGAACATGAAATTGAGCCAACTTCAGAGGACGGCGGAAGACAGGAGGGCCTGGCAGGAGCTGGTCCATGGGGTCGCGAAAAGTCGGACTCGACTGTGCGACTGAACAACAACAACCCATGGGAAGTATTCAGCTGTGACCCTTGCAGGAGGGTGTGATGTCACTTCTGGGTGGCACCCTAGGGATTTCCCCTAATCTCTATGGTAAAAACCATAGAGACTAGGCGAAAGTCCTAGAGCAGGGGTCCTCAACATGGTGTCTGTTGGTGCCATGGGACCAGTGCTCCCTCTAAGCTGTGGAGTCTCGTGAGCAAAAATTCTACTTTGTGAGCTACTGGCATTAAAGTTGTGAGCAAGCAATTTGGCTGCTGCATCAATTAGTTTGCTCTGGAGCCAGCCTTCCTGAGCTAAGACAAAAATGGGAACACTGCATGGGACCCATCAATATTTTTCCTGGTACCCACCGTTTTTCGCAAGTGGGTGGGGCCTGATGGGGCTTTTGCCCAGCAAGGTTTCTGATTGGCCATTGGAGATTTCATTGACTGTGCAGATTTTTAAAAAACTTTACTTTGGCGACGGCTGCACAAAGACCTTCACTGTGTGACTGAAGGTAAGCTGTGGCGCTGTCCTTGTGGGACTGAAGGGTAAGCTGTGGCAGCCATTTTGTGGCTGCAGCCACCATGCTGTATCAGAATTCCCAAGGTGCCTGTGGAGCTCAAAACGGTCAGGGACCCCTGTTCCAGAGCATCACCGTCGACACCATTTCTGGCCCATTTTTCCTTCCTCTCTTCAGTTTATTGAGGACAGGGGATTGCTTGCTGCCAGCTAACCAAACGGCAAGCCTACCTTGCAGTCATAGAACATTTACCTTAGCAATGGGAAGCAACATCGGGGGTGGGGGTGGGGCTGTTGCCTTCATTCCCTGCTTGTGGGCTTTTTGGAGCCACGTGGCCGGCATAGGATACAGGACTTGGATATATCTCGGATCAAATCCAGCTGTGCTTCTCCACATGCAGCTGCTGGTGTGACCTTGGGTCAGTCATAAGTTCTTTCAGAGCTGTTCTCTCAAGGGCAGTCCTCGGGAGAGCTCTCTCAGCCCCACCTACCTCCCAGGGTGTCCGTTGTGGGGAGGGGAAGGGAAAGGAGATTGTAAGCCGCTCTGAGACTCCTTTGGGTAGTGAAGGGCGGGGTATAAATCCAATCTCTTCTCCTCCTCCTCTTATGCTCTAACACAGAGTTTCCCAACCTGTTGGTCGTGACTCTTGTGAAAGTGGGTTGCCGGCTTTTGCAGTTTTCTCAATGTGTGCGTGCTGCGTTTGTCTGTCAAAGTTGGTTCCCGTGCCAAGGCTTGTGGGTCACCGCAGCAAATAGACCAGGAACCACTGTTCTTGCCGTGCTGTGGCAAAAACGCTGAGGCAAACAAACTGCATACATATGCACCACAGCGTGTTGTGGCTAGAGTGCCGACCTAGGAATGGTGTGTGGGGGGGTTCAAGATTCGAATCCCTGATGAAGGATGGCCTCGAGCCAGGTGCGCCCTCTCAGCCCAGCCCATCTCCTGGAACTGTGAGGATAAAATGGAGGAAGGGAAAACCATGTGACCACTCTGAATTCTTTGGAGGACGGGGCCAGGTAAGAGTGTGGCAGATACACCAAAAGCTGCTTCACAAGTTACGATCCGTAGCTATGCATGTGAGGTTTTTGTAAGGTCACACCTGTGAAATGTAGATGCGATAAACGCACGGGGTACCCTGGTTGGGTGGAAAGGGGGCATAAAAATGTTTTAAATAAGCAAAATGTCTGGAGACGAAGGTAGCGTACAGCTCGTCTATCTGAGCCAAGACTGGCGGCATCTCCCTATTGCACAAACACAGTGGCAAATTGGGCCTTGCTGTCCTACATGGGAGTGGCACCCTCTTTTGTAATGGCCCATTTCTGCTTGTGAACATGCATACGTTCGTGCAAATAGGGTCGGTGCTAAAAAGGTAATGTGTCTATATAGATTAACTCTGCATGCCAGTTGCTGGGGGGGGGGAGCGTGGGGGGGGACGACCCCTCTGTGTCCAACTGTTGTCCTTTGGACGCATCTGGTTGGCCACAGTATGAGATAGGATGCCAGACTCGATGGACCCTTCTTCTGATCCAGCAGGGCTGTTTTTACATTCAGAGAGCAAGACTCGATCCCAAACGTGATTTCCTTGGAAGCACACCCTGGTAACATCAGCCCAAGCGATTTCTGACCTCGGTGCCGCATTCCAAATGGCCGAAGTGTGACACATGCTTCCTAGCGAGCATCCACCCGTTTACCTTTTTTTAAGTGCCCTGTAAAAATTTAGTAATTAAAACAGCACAAAGAGGGCTCCTGCTTTTCCAGACTCCTCCTCAGCCGTACCTTTTTGTACGTTCCCACAGTTGTTCAGAGGAAGCGGATTGCGCCATGTGCGGGTTGACGTGCGCCTACATTGTTCCGGATGCGGCAATCCTGCCAGTCTCTCTGGATTATTTACACGCTGTTTGCCTGCAGTGCACGGATAGCGCGCTCCCCCGGAATTAATAATGAATGATTTTGCCATTTAGTAATGGAACTCGAGAGCGAATATTAGTTAAACTGCTGGCATCTGGTTTGGAACGTATAATCACACTTAATTGAATCATTGCCGTTTTATTTAATCACTAGTAACTGCATTATAAACTCCAAGAGATGATTAGTGGTAGGAGTAACAACAGCTGTCTTTTAAACATGTGTGAAATATGTGTCACGTCGACGCCCGGCAAGGTGGCTTCGCCGAGGGTTTCTCCCCCTCCCCCTAAGGCGCACGTGAACAGAGTTGCCCTTGTTAAGGCAAAGGATTAAACTAGCAGGATGTGTTTTTATACAGTAGAGCACTCTCATGCCGTCCTAGTGCAAAGGGTCTAAAAATGGCAAGCCATATGGTTGCGTCACACTGAACAGTGACAAAACCAGGTACCGTGGCTTATCGTATGGAGTACAGCCTGTGTCGACAATTCGGCAGCTTACTGAATTCTCACAGGGGCGAACAAACGCCGCATCTATTGGATCAGATACAAGTCCGTATGTGACCAGATGGCACTTCTGCTTGCACATGGGTGTTTGTCATGATGCAGCCCCCTCTTCTATCGAGTCCCACATTGATCCTGAGAGTCTCCTGAGCTATAGGAGCAACTTTTGGGATGGCAGGGAGGTCGTGCTCCGACTTAGATGGCCCAGACTTGCCCGATCATGTCAGATCTCAGAAGTCAAGCGCGGTTGGTCCTGGTTAGTATTTGGATGGGAGACCACTATACAGCAGAAGGCAATGACGAACCACCTCTGTTAGCCTCTTGCCTTGAAAGCCTTACAGGATCACCGTAAGTTACACACACACACACATGATGCCGCTTTATACTGATTCAGGCCCTTGGTCCATCAAGGTCGGTATTGTCGCCCTGACCTGGATAGCCCAGGCAAGCCCAATCTCGTCAGATCTCGGAAGCTAAGCAGGGTCGACTCTGGCAAATACTTGGATGGGAGACCTTCTTGGAATACCGGAGGCAGGAGGCGGGGGCTCCTCTCTGAATATCCTCCAGGCCACCAGTAGGGGTCAGTCACCAGAGACCGCCATGACTTCTAGGTGCGCATGCACTCTCTCTCTCACACACACATTAAAAGTATACAAAAAAGGTCAGTATTGTCTACTTCAACTGGCAGCAGCTCTCTAAGATCCTAGGTGGATGTCTTCCATGTTTTCCTGATCCGTTTAAGTAGACACCCTGGGGATTGAACCTGGGACCTTCTGCACGCAAAGCAGAGGCGCTTCCACTGAGCCACAACCCCTCCCCCAGTTGGCTGCGACTTGACAGCACTTAAGGCACACACACACACGGACATCTCACAGGACCAGGGCCATAGCGGAGACAGCAATCCAATACTCCCTGTAAGCTGTGGAGTCTTGTGAGCAAAAATTCTTCTTTGTGGGCTGCTGACATTAAAGTTGTGAGCGAGCAATTTGGCCACTGCATAAATTAGTTTGCTCTGGAGCCATCCTGCCTGAGCTAACACAAAAATGTGTGAGCCGGAAGCTAAAAAACTATAAACTAGCTCACCCTAACTCAGCTTAGAAGAAACACCAGCAATGGCATATATGTTCACATCCTGCGGTGTATAATTCAGGCCTACAAAGCTACTATACCCCACCCCCCGACTGAAACTGCAACCCTGGAAGATTATTAACTCTTCTCCGTATGTCAGTTTTCTGAATGATGTTGGTCTCCTGGGCTACTGAGGAAAAAAGATACTATGGCCCTGGCCGCACGTGCCGGAAAACGCGTGGGGGGGGCGTGGCGTGGCTATTTGCGCCATCGCATTCTGATGCGTCATTATGCGATCAGACGCGACGGTGGCTTCCCCGCGGCAAAGAGGACGACGGGGGAGAAAGCTGCGTGCTGGTGCGATCACACCCAGGGAGTCCGCATGCAGCCCGTGGCAAACTATTTGCCAGTAGGTCGTCCCAGGTACTTTTTTAATGCGCATCTTCGGCGGGACGCCACGGGTTCGCCATGGGTGCGGTACGCCTCCCAGATGTTCCGGTGTGATCGCGCCCGGAAAATCCGTGGGACAATCGTGCCTTCAGGGCAGCAAATGCTCCGTGTGAACGGGGCCCTAGTTTGTGTCTGACTTTTTCCTAGTATAGCTAAAAACTGCTGCGGGGAGGAAATATCAGGTTCAACTGGGGAAGCAGCTCAAGGGGGAAACAGCTCGAGCATGCGTTAATAACTTCTCCCCTGTGGCGTGGCCCCAGTCTAGTCCCCCGGCGGCCGCTACTCGTAGTAAAAATACACACCAGGGCTCATGGGAATCACTCGTCTCTTGGCCCGAAAGAATTTATGCCCAGGGCTTCGGGGGGAGGGAAAAAAGTGTGTTTTAAGCCAAGTTTGTCAGGAACGCCGATAAAAATGAAGCATTTTGTGTTTTCTTTGTGATATTGACAGTTAACTGGGAAACGGTGTGGAGGGCGAATACCACCGAGAAGTTTGAGGTCCACACCAACATGAACAGCAATGTGGGGCTACTGCGGATCTTCCCGGGGATCAGCACTGATGCTGGAAATCCCCCCCCCCCCCCGAGTTTCAAGAAGTGTCTCGAGAAGGGAAACTTACAACGACACCGGAGCGTGGGAGGGCAGATTACATATAACTAGCAGCGGGAAAGACTCCTACAGTGCCTTTGTGCTAGTTATTTTCAGTCAGCAATCCCATAATATGCGTACAGGAAAACACTCTCCTCTCAAGAGCATAATCGGGCTGGGGGGGGGGGGGGGAATGGGGGGGTGGCAATGGCCATCCAGTTTTTTGCAGTTCCGGAAGGGTAAACTTGGGGGGGGGGTATTTCCTTTCCCCGCCATGTCAGTAGGGGACAAGACACTGGGCGATTCTGCATCTAGCATTCGCTCCAGGTTTTCTCAGCTGGGAGGGAAAAGTGCAGCTCAAAAGCACATTCAGATACCTTGGGGCAACACCTTACTGTCTGCAAAGTCACCCCTGCACGACCATACATTGGCCATAAATCTATGCAGCAGAATGGCCATAAATCCATGATCAAAGGAAGCGAAAGCAGCATGGAGTATGGAGGCTACCATAAAATCCGATGATCAAAGGAAGTGAAAGCAGCATGCAATGCAGAGGGGAATTTCTGTTCCAACGTGGGTTTCGTAAAACAATTTAATTTTTTATTTATTATTTGTATTTATACCCCGCCCTCCCTGCAACAGAGGGAAAAGCCAATGCAGAATCACCCATTGATCTGTGAGATCGAAGAAGTGGCAGCACAGGTTGCCTGGGGGAACCACTTCCTCCCTTGCTCCACGTCTCCACCACTTGTGCTCTCGCCCCTATCTTGCTTCTACTTCCACCCCCTCCTACACCCGGGGAGCTAAGGAGCCTAGTTCATCTCACCCCTCTTACTTCCCGTGCCTTGCTAAAACCAGCTCAACCAGCCACACGTGACCTGCTAGCTTTCCCAAATTCTCGCGAGATGTCCTTCCTCTTGTGAAAATTCAGCCATTATCTGCATTGTTCTGGGAAGGTTAGGGAGGGAGGGAGGTTGCTTCCCCCCCCCCAAAAAAAAAAATGCCTGAATGAGTGACTGTAGTGTAGCCCAGGTGCTGATTCTCTGACCATTGGCTTTGTGTTGAATACACCTGAACACACACAAAGCTGATTGGTCCATCACAGTCAGCATTGTCTAATTGTATTGGCAGCAGCTCTCCAAAATCTCAGGCAGAGGCCTCTCACGTCACCTACTGCCAGTTTTCTATTACCTGGAGATGTCAGGGGTTGAAACTGGGGCCTTCCGCATGCCAAGCGGTTGCTCTGCCACTGAGCCATAGCCCCCTCCCCTTGTTGCGGCCTGCTTCCTGGGAAGGCAAGGCAGAGATGCCGCCTACCATCACCCCATCCAGTTATTTTTCTGAATCCATCTTCTCTCTCATGCCGAATTCATTGGCATACACTTTTTAAATGATCGGATCTTAATAGTTTTAGAGCTGCAAGAAAAAGATTGGGATCAGAAGACCTACCGGGTCTGTTTCTACTCTGTTGTTTCGAGTCAAGAGATGTCTTGGTTAACGGCCAATTTTAATTAAGTTATCTCTATAATTAAGTTATCTCTGTCCTGAAGCCACGGCCTCGGTGTCCCCTCCCTTGTTAGAATCAAAATGCGCACATGAGTTGCACCTCTCTGGCACAAAATATTTTGCCCATTGTGAACCATCAGCGCTGTCTACATTTCTGTCCTAGCTCATCTCTTTCTTCAGTGTGTTCCCCCCCACCATGAATTTTTATGTGTGTATATCCCATCCTGTGGGATTGAGGCAGGTAAATACTATATATACGTACTAGCATTAGCCACTTCCCCATTATGGAAAAGTAACTTCATATTATTTTTTGTAAAATAACTGAGCACCCTGTTATCCGATTCCTTGGGAGCTGCGTTTCTTAGCGTTATTATCCTGTTCAAAGGCATTATCCGTACTCTCTGGATTGACCCTGAGAATGAATGAAGCTGTACTGCATTCGGTCAGTAAGGCCCCGGGTACCCTTTTAAAATCTTCCGAGAGCCGGCTTCTTCGTATGATGCTGATTTTTTTAAAAATGCGTAGGAGAAACCAATTTTCCGTGACAGGATATACTTTGGGATTATTATTGTTTATCAGTTGTTTGGTGCCTTCAGCATTCATGGTGTGTGTGGTTTTTTCCCCAAAGCACAAGAAAACATTTTGCTGCCATAGCAGCTTATTATCTCTAATACGAGAGCCAGTGTGGTGTAGTAGTTGGACTAGGATCTGGGACACCCAGGTTTGAGTCCCCACTCTCCTATAGAAGCTTGTTGGGTGTGAAGAGGGCAACCAAGATGATAAGTATGATTTTTCTTCCACATCTGATCCCTGTAATACTGTTGGTATGCACAAACATATAAAGATGCTTTTGCAGTGATCCCTTCATTTCATTTATCTTCAGGGCTCTAGTCGGGGGGGAGCTCTCAGGTATGGAGCTCCGGAAGAGAACCTCTAGGGGGTGGGGCGGTCACGTGGTGAAGCCCCGCCCCTTCTTTACCCCGCCCTCTGCTTCGATCCTCATTCCGTTTGGGAATGAGGATGAAGCAGGAGGGTAAGTAGCCGGGCCTTCTGACACACTTCCGGTGATGTCAGGGGGTGTGGCCTTCTGTCACTTCCGGTGATGTCAGGGGGCGTGGCATATGCAAATAAGTTATGCTAATGAGTTATGCTAATGAGCTCCGGCAGCTCTTTTTCTACAACAAGACCCCTGCGTATGTCAATCGCCCCACTGCCACCGCCTGGCCGGAACATCCACTGCAGGGATTCTTCCGTAGCCGAGAAGTTATTTCACCTTTCCGAACCTCGACCAGGACGTCCGACTGTCAGCTAACACTCTCCCACAAGGGAGATTGACGTGCCCACCCTCTCTAAGGAGTGGTTCCCATTTTATCTACTCGCCGAAGCTTTCGAATCACTGGGTGGACGATGAGCTGGGGACAACAGGCTGGCTGCTCACACCAGTGCGGGGCTCGAACTAACACAGTGATTAGGGGGTTGAAGCACCTTCCCTATGAGGAAAGGCTGAAGAATCTGGGACTTTTCAGTTTAGAAAAGAGACCCCTAAGGGGGAATGTGATAGAGGTTTATAAAATTATGCATGGCGTGGAGAGAGTTGACAAAGATAACTTTTTCTCCCTCTCCCAAAAGACTAGATCTCAAGGGCAATTAATGAAGCTGATGGGCAGTAGATTCAAGACAGGCAAAAGGAAATACTTCTTTACACAGCGAGTGATTAAAATGTGGAATTCGATGCCCAAAGGATGAGGTGTTGGCCACAGGCATAGATAGCTTTAAAAAAAGAATTAGGTATGTTCATGGAGGATAGGTCTATCAGTGGCTACTAGCCATGGTGACTAAAGGGAACCTCTGCATTCAGAGGCAGTGAGCCTCTGGATCCCAGTGTCAGGAGGCAACATCAGGGAAAATCCTTGGCTTCTATGTCCTGTTGTTGGCTCTCCAGAAGAATTGGTTGGCCCCTATATGGGACAGGATGCTGGACTAGATGGACTACTGGTCTGATCCAGCAGGGCTCTTATAAGAATGTTGTAATGTTGGGAAGAAAGGGAGAATGTTGTAAGTGACTTTCGGTCCCCATTGGGGAGAAAATGAGGTATAAGTGAAATAAATAAGTACAACAATAAGAACATAAGAAGAATCCTACTGAATCAGACCAATGGTCCATCTAGTCTAGCATCCTATCTCACACAGTGGCCAACTAGTTTCTCTGGAGGGACAGCAACAGGGCATAGAGGCTGAGACCTTCCACTGATGTTGCCTCCTGGCTCTGGGATTCAGAGGTTTAGTTCCTCTGAATGTGGAGGTTCCCCTCAGTCACCATGGCTAGTAGCCACTAATAGACCTCTCCTCCATGAAGGTACCTAATTCCCTTTTTAAAGCTATCTATGCCTGTGGCAAACACTTCACCCTTTTGGCATCGAATTCCACATTTTAATCACTCGCTGTGTAAAGAAGTGGCCTGGAATTTCTTGGTTCCCCCCTGGATCCCTTTCTAAAAATTGATGTAACATTTGTTTTTCTCCAGTCTTCTGGTACAGTGGCTGAACTTAGTGACAGGTTACATATACAGGTTAGTAGATCAACCATCTCACATTTGAGTTCCCTAAGAACTGTTGGGTGCATGACACAGGGGAGACAATAAACTAAAGGAAAGGAGGTGAAAATTGGGGTAAGTGGTGAAAGAACATGTATTCATTCCAGTGACAAGAGCTTAGGCTTTGTAGGGTGAGGTGTGTGCTTGAATACTGGGGAAAGGTGGATTTTGAGAGGCAGACTTGTTACTATGGTTTTCTCTCATGCAGGTGAAGGTGTTCCTTCAGAGTCCAATGGAGGGGGTTGTACTTGAGACCTACGGAAGTGGAAATGCCCCCAATAACCGCCCGGATTTACTAGAGGAGTTGAAGAAGGCAACCGAACGCAACATCATGATCCTGAATTGCACCCAGTGTCTGCGAGGAGCCGTGTCTTTAGTCTATGCCACAGGAAAGGTAAGAAAAATGAAAATGCTGCCCGCTATATATGTAGCATTGGGTCTGTAGTTAGCATCTGTAGTATTATGTAAGTGGGCATCTTTCATACAAAGAATTAGGAAGAGTTGTCGACGGCTGGAGTTCATTAGTTGCTATAGATTTTCCGGGTTGTGTGGCCGTGGCCTTGGCATGGTAGAACCTGACGTTTCGCCAGTAACTGTGACTGGCATCCTCAGAGGTATAAACACAGAAAGATGGAGTACTCTCTGAGTCAAGGTGAGAAGAAAATGGTAGGCAGGTAATTTATATCTACTCCAGAAGGTGGGGTAGGGCCGAGCCATTATGTTGTAGGAGTTCCCCAGGCTATGAACATGCTAATGGAGGTGCTTTCCTGAGGAGGTTCTTTTGTACATGGATTGTTTCCTGAGGAGGTTTCCTGTTTCCTGAGGAGGTTCATACAAAATAGTCCACATACAAAAGAACCTCCTCAGGAAACAATCCATATACAAAAGAACCTCCTCAGGAAAGCTCCTCCATTAGCATTTCCATAGCCTGGGAAGCTCCTACAAGATAATGACTCAGCCCTACCCCACCTTCTGGAGTAGATATAAATTACCTGCCTACCATTTTCTTCTCACCTTGACACAGAGAGTACTCCATCTTTCTGTGTTTATACCTCTGAGGATGCCAGTCACAGTTACTGGCAAAACGTCAGGTTCTACAATGCCAAGACCACGGCCACACAACCCGGAAAATCTACAGCAACTAATTAGGAAGAGTATTTGTCTGCTTGTATGGGAGGGTAGAGAACTTATTAGATTCAAATGTAGTACTTTTGATCTAGCGGGGCCTTCTTCAAGATTTTGCCTTCCCATAACTCTTTTGAGAGAGGTGAAATACTTAAGCAGTGAGAAGAAAAGCGATGGATGGTCCAGCTATCATGACCATATCTGGACCTGCTTGGTTCTTTATGAATGATGAAGCATATCCAAGACCTGATGACAACTGCATTATTTTGGAAATCCCTGAGCATACTTCAGACACGTTTATGAGCATAAGTGGTTTAAAGGCTGCCATATATGTTTTGGGGTGACCAGTATGAATGTCCAGTGGTCTTCAGGGTGATGAAGATGAGAAACCCTGGCACATACTTATTCCTCCCAAATGTTTGATGGCCAACTGGGGTCTTGATCAGATGTCTCCAGAAAGCTTGCAATGAGTGGCAGAAGTAATGTCATTCGCAGCCCGGCCCTGATACAATCAGAAGCATTGGGTGGGAACGAGGTTTAAGTAGTAGTGTCAAGTCTTGGGGCTGGGACTGGAACTTGAAGATTGAATGCTGCATTCTTCTACTATGCCCCAAAGTCGACCAGCCACTCTCACCAGTTCACAGTGCCAAAGCTGGGTGCAAAATTTCCGTGCCTCACTAAATCTTACAGCGGATATTGTGACATGAGAAGGTGTATCTCCTCTTTGCCCATCTGAATTAATAGGCGAGCTCTGAGTAATGTAGCTATCTTTCTAATCATAGGCTCTTTTTATTGGCTTGGCTTTTCCTAGAAGTATGTTGACACTTAAGTTTTCTCTAGGAAAAAAAGTGTTGCCTCTGTCCCTGTAATAATGTAAAGGAATGAAAGTAAGTGTCAAGTACTGGATGCAATCACTCTCACAAACACTCTTGTAGCAGCAAGATTTGTTTATTAAGAGGGAGAGAGGTTCCAAGCATAGACAGCTTCTGTGTCGGAACTGGAACCCTGATGCCAGTTCCGCCAATATACTGAAAGCAGAAATTCCACAGATGCCAAGCAACCAATCACTGCTCCCATTCAGCCTGCCACAGGGCTGCCCCCACCTGCATGCTAACAAGTTACATTATCTAAAAGCTCACCAGACTGCAAGGTCACACAGAACGATGAGGTCATATACTTCCCAAGGTGTTCTCAACACACTTGGGAAGCCCCTGCATGAGAACTGTTTCGAGCTGACACTAACCAAGCAAAGCAGACTGCCAAACACATCCACCACACACCCCGTTCCCAGCAGAGATGATAAACCGTAGTGGAAAAGAGCAAGGTGGCGTACAACATAGGAACTGTGTAAGAATGCATGTGAATCCGTAACACAACCAGCGGAATAATGAAACAGAACATGAGTATAGGAAATAGGAAATAATTGGCAAGTGAGGCCCGAGCTTGACAGTAAGAAGTATCAGGGGCTCATCTTCAGTATGAGTTGAAGTTGTTCCCTCTGAAAGTGTGAAGGTACTAGATTATGGGATCATTCTATAGGACCAGCTAGCTACTTATAATCTGATCTAATGTTGCATGTATAGTTTGAGGACTGCTGGTAAGAGTCTTGCCTTCAAGTTGCAGGGATCTAAAAAAGAATAAAATTATTACATAGGTGTGGCAGAGCAAGAAGTTGAATTATGGACTCTTGTGGGGAAGATCACGGCCGATGTACTAAATGCTGTTCCAGGTGTATTTTGCAGCATCAACCCCTGGTTTGTTGCCAGTTGTGCCCTCAGCCTATGCCAGGTCTTTAATGGAATAATGTGGTGTACAGACTTTGCGATGTGATGGTTTGTTTGGTGTAGTGGTTAAGTGCGCGGACTCTAATCTGGGAGAACCGGGTTTGATTCCGCACTCCTCCACTTGCAGCTGCTGGATGACCTTGGGCAAGCCATAGTTCTGGTCAGAGGTGTTCTTGAAAAAGAGCAGTTTCTGTCAGAGCTCCCTCAGCCCCACCTACCTCACATGGTGTCTGTTGTGGGGTGGGGAAGGGAAAGGAGATTGTAAGCCACTCTGAGACTCCGAGTGAAACGCAAGGTATAAATCCCATACTACTTCTTCTAATGAAATGAGCCTTGACTCACAAAAGCTTGTACCCTGGACACGTTTGTTAGTCTCTTAAGGAATTCACTGCCACAGGAAGTGGTGGCGGCTGCAAGCATGGATGGCTTCAAAAGGGAATTAGATAAGCATATGGAGCACAGGTCCATCAGTGGCTATTAGCCACAAGGTATAGATAGGGGCTCTGGGGCAAGGGATGCTCTGTCTTCTTGGGGCTTGGGGGGGTCAACAGTGGGAGGGCTTCTAATGTCCTGGCCCCACTGGTGGACCTCCTGATGGCACCTGGTATTTTTGGCCCCTGTGTGACAGAGTGTTGGACTGGATGGGCCTTTGGCCTGATCCAACATTGGCGTCTCTTATGTTCTTAAGGTGCTCCCAGACTCAAACTTTGTTCTGCTACAGGCTAACATGGCTACCCTCTTGAAACAGCACCAAAGACATCAAGGCAGAATTGGCTCTTCGCTTTGGGCCAGAGATCCTTTGACGAAGAAGGAAGTGGGCATCAGAAAACACATTGGTGGGCACCATGATGCCCGTGAGCACCGTGTTGGGGGGGGGTCACTGGGTTAGAGTTTTGGGCTAAGGTTGGAGATTCCTCCTCTGATGTGTTCACTGGCTAACTGTGGGCCAGTCAGACGTTTTCACCTTGACCTGCCTCACATAGTTGTGAGGATAAAGGGGGAGGGGTAAGCATGCCGCTGCTCTGACCTCCTTGAAAGAAAGGGAGAATAAAGAGAAGTAAATAAAATAAAACGTGCCACCTCTGTGATACAGCTGTTTGTCCGATCTACACCTTTCCTGTGTAGAACTCTCCAGGCTTAGAATTTTCGTAGACAGCTCAAGAGTGTAAAATGTGAAGAAGGCAAACAAAATTAATTGTTATCCTTCCATTCGAGGAACGTAGGAATCAAGCCACACACCCCAAAAAAGTCAATTAAACAGATCCTGCTGATTTTTTTTTAATTATGGATTTTAAAAATAAACGAAAACGAATATTATAGCAGCCTATGAGGAGACACATGAACAGTTCATTAATTGAGCTCTATATATGTGTTTGTTTTTTCATTGCCGGCTGAAGACGCTGATGGATGCAGGAGTGATTCCGGGAGGAGATATGACACCCGAAGCGGCTTTGACAAAGCTCTCCTACGTCCTGGGCAAACCCCAGTTTAGCTTGGCCGAGAAGAGAAAGGTAAACGGTCCTTGCCTTCTGAGCTTAGAATCCGTGCGCGTGGTTCTGTGCATGTGGGCAGGTTCGGATTTATGTTTTCTCAAACGGCAGTCTCCCTGCCTGCCTAACCTCTTGTGGATCTGAGAATACTTCCATAAGTAGCTGGACGGATAAGAGGAAGTACTTCTTCACCCAAAGCGTGATTAACACATGGAATTCACTGCCACAGGAAGTGGTGGCGGCTACAAGCATGGACGGCTTCAAAAGGGAATTAGATAAGCATATGGAGCAGAGGTCCATCAGTGGCTGTTAGCCACAAGGTATAGATAGGGGCTCTGGGGCAAGTGATGCTCTGTCTTCTTGGTGCTTGGGGGGGGGGTCAACAGTGGGAGGGCTTCTAAAGTCCTGGCCCCACTGCTGGACCTCCTGATGGCACTGGTATTTCTGGCCACTGTGTGACACAGAGTGTTGGACTGGATGGGCCTTTGGCCTGATCCAACATTGACATCTCTTATGTTCTTATGTTCTTATGACTTACTACAGAGAGATCTGCATCTCAAAAAGCTTTCCACTGAGTCTAGCCAGGGTGTGGGAGGGTCCAGACTGTAGCTCATTGGAAGAGCTACTCTGGAAGAAGTCTAACCACTTTGATATCAGAGCGTGTCCTAGTCTTGTGATGACGATTGACTCCATCATGAAACTCAAGATGGCATATCTGGGGGTTCTTAGGAGGCCTCCCATCCAGGTACTTGACTAAACGCCATGTGGCTTAACTTCAGCAAGATTGTTCTGTCAGGTATCTTCCAACCATACCCTGGAACTGTATCTTCTGCTAGTTTAGCTACTCCCTATTCATTTATTCAAGTCCTCCACATCTATTGTGCACATCAAGCACGGTAGTTGCTGTGTTATCTACCAGTTGGTTTACATCTTCCTCCTGTTAACTACCACAGAAACAGATCATAGAAAACATACCTGTACCCGATCCTTTGCTCATGCCAAGATTCGCTCAGGATCCCTTCTCAGACAAAAGCAGAGCTTAATTGGGGGGGGGGGAGGCTCTGTGCCCTGTTTTCCTTGATTTTGTTGGCCTAGCAGTAGATGGCTCTGCATCCTAATCAACCCAGGTAGCATTTGGGATGTTTCTTTGTGCCCATCTACCTCCTATTGATGTGAGTGGGGTTTCTGTGGTTGCCATGAAACTTACTGTCAATTAAGTGCGATTAGGACCGCAGCCGTCAAGTCTAACCCTAACTTATTCAGAAGTCAGTGCTATCCATTTAATTAGGGTTAACTTCCTATTGAATGTACATAATATTGCAGGCTTAAACATCTGGAACATTTCCCAACAATATGCAGTGATATTGAGCAAGAGTTTCTCTGTACGAACATTTAAGAAAGAGACTATGAAACTCAAGGCGAATGCCTCAGTGCCAAACTTCCGCCTGTTAAGTGGACCCCAAGAAGCTCAGTTACTTATTCTTTTCCTTAAAATTACTCAATGGAAACGGAACAGGAAATGAAGCTACCGATTGCTGCCGGAGGCCCTCCCGGCAATAGCAAAGCAAAGCTTTCCCTTGGGCTCCCCTCGCCTGTCTATTACAGTCGCGGCTTCACTCATTGGCTAGACCAGCGGGAAGGCAGAAGAAGCCAGTCTCCATGGCATAAACTGGGTGGGAAAGTCTGTACATTTTGCCTTCTGTCTCCAGGTCTAGGAGGCCAAGAGACTTCTTTAAAAAGAAAAGGAAGGAAGTTGGGAACCCGGGTCAGCTAACGAGCTCAGTAGTTACCAAGTGGCATGCCCATATTCGGGGGAGGGTGGACTGAAGGGTTCCCCTGACCAGACTCATGTTACACACCTGACCGGGATTCACCTTAGAGATGGTTGTGGGCCTCCGAACTGGCAATGGAGCACAATGGGTGGGGGCAGGAAAGGGCATCAGCCTGCACTGCCTTCCATGATGTGCCATTTTTGACAGACCGGGGGTGGGGATATTGTCCCACCGCTGGCTCTACAGGGCAATGTGGCCCTGTGTTAACTGGCGAGAAGACCATCTTTACTGGCGGAATGCCCATGTCGTCCATATGGAAGTGGGCTTCAGGTGCTCCTACTTTGTTACTTCCGTGCATCGTCAAGATGTCAGGAAACCAAGAAAGGTATTGTGTTGCATGGAGCTTTGTGCATTCTCCCTTCCTGTGGACCTTGCCATTTGTATTAACCCCTCCATTACCTTTCCATTCCTCAACTGCCTGGTGATTAACAAGGTGATTTGTGCAGCCTGTTCATAGGTGCTGTGAGGCTTGTGATAATTGTTGTTGTTAGCCATTCCGTCGTGTCCGACTCTTGGCGATTCTGTGGGCCAGCTCTCTCCACATTTCCCCATGTTGTCCTGTTTCTTTGCGTCGTTCCCTGCTCAGGCTGGTGTCAGCTCTTGTGGTGTCTAGCCACCATGTTTTTTGGCGGCCCCGGTTTCCTTTTGCCGCTAACCAATCCAAGCATAATTACTTTTTCTAGTGAGCTCTTCCGCATGACCTGGCCGAAATAAGTCAGTCGCAGTTTTGTGATTTTTCCTTCCGATGGCATGTCTGGTTTTATGCGCTGCAGTACTTGGCTTGTTTGTCACCTTTGCTGTCCAAGGACTGCAGTCCTAACCAGTGTTCCCTCTAAACCGAGTTAGTGTGAGCTAGCTCACAGTTTTTTAGCCTCTAGTTCAGTCTTAGCTCAGGAAGGATGGCTCCAGAACAAACTAATTTATGTAGTAGCCAAATCACTTGCTCACAACTTTAATGCCAGCAGCTCACAAAGTAGAATTTTTGCTCACAAGACTCCACAGCTTAGAGGGAACATTGGTCCTAACCACACTTAACTGATGTGTGCTAAAGCAGTGTTGTCCCTGTGCCCCCTGGGTAAAAGGACCACTGCTGGATGTATTCAAGATTAAACTGTAGGAGCATGTGTCGTGGGTTAGTTTTTCATACCCTAGTAAGTAGAGATAGGAACGTCCCTGGTGAATCATTCCATGCCGGTCTGAAAAGTGAAGGATGAGACGGTGGGAAGGCTGCCTCCCCTTCCTAAATAATATATTAAGCACCTGAGAACATGTCCCTGCATAGCAAACGGGTGTCTTTGCTCCCCTGAAAAGGAACGATAACTCCCAGCTCATAACACCTACAGTGTTCTCCTTTTCCCCCCCTTTTTTTCCCTTTTAAAGGCATGCCTAAACAGTACCGACTCTGGGGGGGGAGGCCTTCCTTCCCAAAACACTCCTTGCTCTCTTTGCTTTACGCAGCCGTATTCCCAGATGGTTATCGCCACCAACTGTGTTCCCAGGCTCACCCTCTCTAATAAAGCAATTCTGCGTTACAAAAACCGTGGAAACCCCCCCCTTCCCCCAAACCCGGCAAGACTCATTATGTACGCATATGGGCTTGTGTGGGTATGTGTGTGCAACATAGTTTCCGCTTTTTCTTTTTTGAAAAGCTGCCTTGAACACACATGAAGCTGCCTTATACTGAATCAGACTCCTGCACCTTCAAGGTCAGTATTGTCTACTCAGACTGGCCGTGGCTCTCCAGGGCCTCAGGTGGAGGTGTTTCACGTTGCCTACCACTCGATCTTTTTAGCTGGAGATGCCGGGGATTGAACCTGGGACCTTCTGATTGCCAAGCACACGTTCTGTCACTGAGACACGGGCCCTCCTCTTCCGGTACAACAACTGAACCTCTTTAACCCCCTTTTCATGAGGTTCAGAAATGGCTTCCGAAGTGATGGAAATACTTTTAGGAAAAAGAAACCGAGAAACATCTGGTCACGTGTATCTCTCGTTCACAGCCTAATGGGTGTATCCACTCAAACTGATTTCCTTTTCCAGTGGAACCTTGGGAGCTGTGGGGGGGGGGCTCAACACCTCACTAAACTGTAGTTCCTCGATATTCTGGAGGAAAGCCATGAGGGTTGCCAACCCAGTGTTGATGGCCTCCCAGGAGATGGGGTGTGCACGGAGTTCCCGTGAATGGCATCAGCAACACCACAATGTCACATCTGGAGTGAACATGAAAGTGACCTAACCACGTCAGTGTGACCCTCTAGGATTCATCCAAAACTCTATGGTACGTTCCGGGGAACTCCTAGAGCATCCCACGGACACAGTAATGGCACTTTTGGGTTCACGCCAGAAGTGGCATCGTGGTGGTGATGTGACACTTGATCCCCACCCCTACCCCAGATTTTGCCTCTGTTGCTCCTCTGAGCAGCAGTGGGTGCCAGGAGCTGGGGGTGGGAGGTGGGTGGTGGGTGGGAGGTCTCTCATTAAAACAGGAGATCTGGCGTGTTTCAAATGCATGGTAGTTAAACCTGGTATAAAAATGATGCTGTTCCATTGTGAAGACAGAACAGTCAACTCTGCCAGCCATTTAACCTAAAACTCATTTCCTGGTCAAGACTGCAGTCTAATCTGAATTGAGTGTTCGGTGAAGTCGCTGAAGCTTCAAAACTGTATGAGACGGTGTAGCAAAAGTGGGGTCTTAGACACACCCGTGCCGTATCATGTCTTTTGATTCTGTACCATCCTTGGTTTAAACGAGTGAATGTAGCTGTTGTTGTTCAGTCGCACAGTCGAGTCCGACTCTTCGCAACCCCATGGACCAGATCACGCCAGGCCTTCCTGTCTTCCGCCGTCCTCTGAAGTTTGCTCAATTTCATGCTTGTGTCATCGATGACACTGTCTAACCATCTCATCCTTTGCCGTCCCCGTCTTCTTTGACCTTCAGTCTTTACCACATTAAAATTTACATGTGTCAAGATTTCCCAAGACTGTTTGAAGCTTCTTCCCTTCCAAAGGGTTTTCAAGGAAGTCTTAACTGTATACTTCATTTATGCTTATTGATTTACAGTTGAGGACACACACCCCCACCCTAAGGGGTAAAGTTAGCAAATTGGTTTTAGCACCATCTGGAACAGTTATTGGGATGTTATTGGAAGTTATAACTTTAACTGTTATTGTTTGACTGTATTTGATATATGCTGTAAATCACCCTGAGCCTGCATGCAGGGATGGCGGTCTAGAAATTAATTAAATAAATAAAATATACCCCGCCTTTCTCCCTGATGGGGACTCAATGCAGCTTACATCATTCTCTTCTCTGTTTTTTCTTCACTACGACCCTGTGTGGTAGGCTACGTTGAGTGTATATGTGACTGGCCCAAGGTCACGCAGCGAGCTTCCATGACCAAGTGGAGATTCAAACCTGGGTATTCCAGATCTTTGTCCCACACTGTAACTCTCACACCATACTGGCTCTCTACAACTACCTGTTATATTTTCCCCAGATCCTGCCTAGATCCAGGGCTCTTTTTGTATCAAGAACTCCTTTGCATATTAGGCGACACACCCCTAATGTAGCCAATCCTCCAAGAGCTTACAGAGTTTATTTATTTATTTATTTATTATTCAGATTTATACCCCGCCCTCCCACGTAGGGCTCAGGGCGGCTTACAGGGCAAGATATAGACAACAATACAAAAATAACAATATATCTGCATTATAAAAACATTATATACAGTTTAAAACCCATCCTATATCACATAAAGTGCTCGGTGATAACTAACTTTAAAACCCAAGATGGCGGGACAGTACCAAACAATTCTTGGGAGACGGTCTATAGCGTCCCGATGTTCCAAAGATCTTCTCAGGGCCTTTCTCTGGGCTTCTTCCGCGACACACCCCTAATGTAGCCAATCCTCCAAGAGCTTACAGAGTTCTTCTTACAGGGGCTACTATAAGCTCTTGGAGGATTGGCTACATTAGGGGCGTGTCGCCTAATGTGCAAAGGAGTTCCTGCTACAAAAAGAGCCCTGCTAGATCCATGTAATCAAATATGCATGGCAAGTTCTGTGCTGGGAATTTAAACCCAGGTGTGTGAGAGACTGATTTTGGTGGAACCATGGTGCGGGGGAAGGTGGGGTTCAGGCTCCACCCAGCATCATTTCCCAACCTGAACTAGGACTGTCAACTTCCAGTTGGTAGATGGAGATCTGGGAATCAACTGATCTCCAGGTGACAAAGTTCAGTTCCCATGGGCAAAACGGTGGCTTTGGAGGGTGGGCTCTGTGGCATTATACTGTGGAAGTCCCTCCCCTCCCCAAACCCCGCCCTCCTCTGGCTCCACCCCCAATCTCCAGGTATTTCCGAACCTGGAGCTGGCAACCCTAACCTGAACTGACCCCGGAGGTGTTGTTGGCCCCACTGTGAAAACCTAAGTGTGCCCCATCTGCGGGAGCCCCAACGGGGCAAACAGCAGCTCTCTGGAGACATTTCAAGTTGGGAAATTGACGGGGCGGGGGAGGCGGAAGCCCCTTCTCTCCGTGTGCCACAGTCTCGACCCGATCCACACACAGCATTACATTCCTCACACCGAACTCCCAATGCACTTTTGATCATGAGGATCTGGGGGAAAGCAGCGTGTCTCGTTTTGACAGTTGTTCAAAGCTTGTAGAAAATATTCACCAAAAAAAGAAGACATGATCAAAGGTTGCAAACCAGAAAAATATTCCACACGTTCTTTCCTGTATCCTTTATTAATGTAGCTTGAGATACCCTTGAATATATGAAAGTTGCCTTTCCCCGGTTGCTCCAGCTGGCTCAGCATTTTCTACTCTTGAGTGTAGCCGCTCTCCAAGATCTGAGGAAGATCTTTCCTGGCACCTGCCATAAGAGATCTTCTTACCATGCAAAGAACGTGCTTTCCCACTAATCTGTGCCCTGTCCTTCTGGTTTTTAACTGTTGCTCTTTCACACTGGGGCATTACTGAAGATTAAAAAAAACCAAACCCTTTCCCAGTACCTGTTACTGGAGCTGCCAGTGATTGAACCAGGGCGCTTCTGCATATGTTTTTCCACTGAGTTATGCCCTCTCCTTCTCAGTTAATGTTCTAGTTTAAGAGATCGAAAGGTATGGATGGTAAAAACAGCCTTGGTCTTTTTTTATTAATCTACAGTGGGATGCCTGATGAAAAGTGGGCACCTGTCAAAGGTAGCTTTGACTCTCGAAAGCGCATACCTCAAAAATCTTTTTGGTGTCTAAGGTGCTACTGGATTCTAATCTAACTGTTCTACTGTAGAGCAACATGTCTTCCCTCTGAAACAATCTAAACTGGGGGCAATTCTGCATCTAGCATTCGCTCCACATTTTCTCGACTGGGAGAAAAAGCTGCGGCTCAAAACCACATTCAGATACCTCGGGGCAACGCCGTACTGACTGCAAAGTCACCCGTGAATGGCCATAGATCTATGCAGAAGGTACCATAAAACCCGATGATCAAAGAAAGCGAAAGCAGCATGCAGTGTGGAGGGTACCATAAAACCCGATGATCTAAGAAAGCGAAAGCGGCATGCAATGCAGAGGGGAATTTCTGCTCCAATGTGGGTTTGGTAAAACACCAGAGGGAAAACCAATGCAGAATCGCCCTGGGATAGGATCCGTTGAGCACTTAGCACCCAGAATATGATTGTTTTTTAGCCTTGTACAAACTCTTGAGCACCTGCAATAGTACGAAATGTTCCCCCCCCTTCCCCCCCCCCCCCCCGAGCAACACTACAAACTGTTGAGCCGATACGCTTTTTCACACTCTTGATTTCAGGAGGTATTCTATTCCACAGTGCAATCCAATGTGGAGTCAACTCCCGTCTGAACTCACTGATTTCAGTGGATTCAGTTTGAAGTAGCCCTGAACTGGATGGTTCAGGTTAGCCTGATCTCCTCAGATATTGGAAGTTAAGCAAGGTTGGCTCTGGTTAGTATTTGGATGGGAGACTACCAAGGAAGTCTAGGGTCAGTACGCTGAGGCAGGCAACGGTGAACTCACCTCTGTTCGTCTCTTGCTTCGAAAACCCAATGGGGTTACATAATCATAGACTCACAGAGTTGGAAGGGGCCAGACAGGCCATCAATGCAGGATCAGCCTAGAGCAGGGGTGTCGAACTCATTTGTTATGAGGGCCAGATCTGACATAAAGGAGACCTTCTTGGGCCAGGCCATGTGTGTCATAAGGTGTAATGCCAGGTAGCGGAGATATAAACTTTATAAAGGACACAAAGATTTATTTTTTTTACTTAAAACATTAGCTCTGTAAGCTGCAAACCTACTTTTGATTTATTGACGTTCACCATGGAAATCTCTTGCTCAGAGTTCTGAGTCTAGGACCCAGGTTAAAACATGAAATGGCTGAGTGACTAAGAGAGTCTGGTGAAGCAAGCTGTGATGCAGCAGCAGCAGCAGAACTGGAAGCAGGAGACGGCGAGTTCCACTGCAGGCCTGATGGAAGCCCTCCAGGGGGGCCTGATCCGGCCCACTGGCCGCATGTTTGACACCCCTGGCCTAGAGTATTCCTGACAAGTGTTTGTCCAGCCACTGCTTGAAGACTCCCAGTGAGGGGGAGCTCACCGCCTCCCATGGCAGCTGATTCCACAAGTCAGCTGTTGCCATAACTCAGTTGTGACTTGACAGCACTTTCCTTCCTTCCTTCCAGTTTGAAGTACCCCTGCACGGGATTGCATTGTACACCTTTCAGAATGAGAAATGGATTCCCTAAACGGCTTTCCCCACTTGGTCGTTTATTTCTGTTTTCTCCCCTCCAGATGCTGAATGAGAACCTAAGAGGAGAGATGACCGTTGTGCTCACAGGGAATCGAATCACACTCAGAGACAGCAAATTCATTCAAGGGATTGCAAAATACCTGTATATCAGCTGCAAGGAGGTACCTGTTCCACTGGCGTTCATTAGACTAGAAAACCCGGTGCAAAATGCAGAGTTTGAAAAAAGTGTGAAAGGATCGTGCAGGGCATTAGAGCACCTCTGCATGACAGCTTTTCTGGATGCAGGCAGCCACACAAACAGCTTGTGACTTTTTCATGCCTCCAATGAATGTCTTTCGTTGGCTTCTTTTGGCTTTTTTCTTCTTCTTTAACTTGCCGTTTCTTAAGGATTCAAGACCAGGTTAAAATGTGACACCTAAAAAGCACACTTAGTGATGCCGTGTAAGCAAGTGCATTTGATAATTGTTGGAATAATTCAAATACATAATTCGGCTAGATACGTTGTCTGTGTTTTCATGGTTTTGTAAAGTTTATCTATTTTCCGTTACAAAAAAGATGTAAATTCTCTTTATACATAACATTTTTTGGAGTGTACATTATATATTTTTTCCCATCCATATATTTACTTTAAACCACCTTTTCTTAAAAACATTATCATCTCTCCCTGCTAATATCAAGTTTAATCTGTCCATTTCCGCTATTTCTAGGATTTTTCCCATTAATTCTTCTCTTCTTGGTATTAGATCCGATTTCCACTTTTTAGCTATGAGGATTCTGCTTACTGCGAGAATATATAGAATGATACATGTCTTCTCTATTTATTCTATCTGGAATCATGTTAAGCAGATAACTTTCTGGGATAAGTTGGAGTTCTATATCTGTAATCTCTTTTATCAGTTCTTTGACCTTTTTCCAAAACTTGATTATTTTTTCACACCTCCACCAGATATGGTAAAAGGTTCCTATGTTATTTTTGCATCTCCAGCATGTATCTGAGACATTCTTATAACATTTGGATAGTTTATCTGGTGTCCGATGCCACCTGTAAAACATTTTTAGTATGTTTTCTTTATATGACGTAGCTCTTACTATTTTCATGGTGTTGGAAGGGATTACAAAGTCCTCTTGGTATGGCCCTGCCGGATCAGAGCAGTGGTCCGTCCTGTTCCACACGGTGGCCAACCACTTTCTCTGGAGGTCCAACAAGCAACGCATAGAGGCTGTGGCTTTCCCCTAATGCTGCTTTCTGGCACTGACGTTTAGAGGTTTACTGCCTTTGAAAATGGAGGTTCCCTTTAGTCACCGTGCCTAGTAGTTGCTGATAAACCTGTCCTCCATGTATTCGTTTAACCCCCTTTTTAAGCTGTCCATGCCTGGGGCCATCACTGCCTCTTCTGGCAGTGAATCCCACATTTCAATCACTCGTTAACTAAATAAATATTTCCTTCTATCCATCTGAACGTACTCGTACATCAACTTCATTGGGTGCCTTTGAATTCCAGTGTTTTGGGAAAGGAGAAAAAGTTATCTCTGTCCATTTCCCTTGCCCTAGGCATAATTTTAGAAGCCTCTGTCATGCTGTAATGCCGTCCACTGTGTATCAAGCAAAGCAGATAAGACATGTAAGGTAAAGGTTTCCCTTGCTCGAAAGCTAGTTGAATCTCGCTCTAGGGGGCGGTGCTCATCTCTGTTTCCAAGCTGAAGAGCGAGCGCTGTCCGAAGACGTTTCCGTGGTCATGTGGCTGGCATGACGAAACACAGAATACTGTTACCTTTCCATCGAAGCGGTACCTATTTAAGTAAAGGTAAAGGTTCCCTTGCTCGAAAGCCAGTCGAATCCGACTCTAGGGTTGCGGTGCTCATCTCCGTTTCAAAGCCGAAGAGCCAGCGCTGTCCGAAGAAGTTTCCATGGTCATGTGGCCGGCATGACTAAACACCAAGGTGCACGGAATGCTGTTACCTTCCCACCAAAGTGGTACCTATTTATCTACTTGCAATTTCTTGCTTTCGAACTGCTAGGTTGGCAGGAACTGGAACTAGAGATGGGAGCTCACTCCATCATGCGGCACCCGGGTCTCAAACTGCTGAACTACCGACCTTCCACAGCCTGCAGTTCAGCGTCTTAACCACTTGAGCCACCGCAGCTCCTATTTACCTATTTACCTACTTGCAGTTTCTGGCTTTCCAACTGCTAGGTTGGCAGGAGCTGGGTCCAGAGACGGGAGCTCACTCCGTCACGTGGCACTAGGGTCTCGAACTGCCGAACTACAGACCTTCCAGTCTGCAGCTCAGTGTCTTAACCTCTGAGCCACCGTGGCCCTCTAGATAAGACATGTAGGCATCAGTAAATAAAGATTGCAAGGGCTGGTGGAGAATAGGTGTTCACAGCTAATCGTTTATTCTTACTTTTTCAGGAGCTAGAGGCCATTAGGGATGCGCTGACTCCTGCCTTGGCCTGCGCAGCTGCAAAAACCGGTGACTTGGATGCCTTAAAAGCTTTACAGGCAATGGTAAAAGAGAGTTGTTTTATCCAATCATAACACCACCTCCCCCTGATCTCTACTCAGATGTCTTGTGCGCCTTCAACGGAGATTACTCGGTGCCGTCCGGCCTCTAGTTATAAAGAGAGACTAAAACGACCCCAGATCTAGTCTTTCAGCAGGGGGGTCTTCTCAAACCTGACATTGCCTGAGTTGGGGAGTTTTGATCCTCCCCACGTGTCTTCCCCATATCGGATTGGCACAACAGTTTCGGTCGAGTCACCAGGGGCTGCTGCGGGTGCCAGCCTGCCAGGGGGCAAAATGAACGATTGCCGTGTACATGTGTTTTCCCCGTCGTGGCTCCCTCCTTGTGGAACGGCCTGCCCAGGAAGGCCAGGAAAGCGCCCGCTCTCCTGGCTTTCCGCAAACTGTGCAAAACTGAACTATTCAAGAGGGCTTTTCTGAGCAGGCAATAGGCTTGCACTGCACAAAATGGTTTCACAAACTTGCTTCGATACACGATTAGGGACTGTGGTCTACACGGCCGTGTTTGGCTTATTGAAAGTAGGATCCTGTTTATGCAGTTTTCGTACCCCTTAATGTGTCGGGTGAATACTTACGCTGTGCTTCAGTTCTTTCTGGCAGTTCCAGATGTCTGCAATCCTAATGCACTGGTTGTTGACCAAGATGGGTAGCCGTGTTTGTCTGTAGTAGTAGAAAAGAGCAGGGGTCCAGGAGCACCTTAAAGACTAACACAATTTGTGGCAGGGGAGGAGCTTTCGTGAGTCACTGGGTGTGTGTGTGGGGGGGTGTTTGTGAATTTCCTGCATTGTGCAGGGGGTTGGATTTGATGACCCTGGAGGTTCCTTCGAACTCTATGGTTCTATGAGTCACTGCTCACTTCTTCAGCCACCTGAATCTGTACTGGAAAAAGTGAGCAGTGACTCACGAAAGCTCCTCCCCTGGCACAGATTGTGTTAGTCCTTAAGTTACGGCTGGACTCTTGCTTTTCTCTACTGCGGTGGTTACTGAATGTCCCATTTTTGTGATTCTGCTGACCCACTATGTGTAACCCGCCTTGAGTCGCCGTAAGAAAGGTGGACTATAAATACAGTACAAAAATAAATAAAACGTAGAAGGCAACCTTAGTACAGAGGAGGGCAGCCAAGACGAGTAGGGAGTTGGAGCACCTTCCCTATGAGGAAAGGCTGAAGAGACTGGGCCTTTTCAGTTTAGAAAGGGGGGGCATGATAAGGGTTTATAAAGCTATGCATTGGGTTGAGAGAGTTGACAAAGATAAGTTTTTCTCCCTCTCCCAAAATACTAGAACTCGATGGCGTCTAACGAAGCTGATGGGCAGTAGATTCAGGACAGAAAAAAGGAAATACTACGTTACACTGAGAGTGATTAAAATGTGGAATTCGCTGGCAGAGGATGTAGTGATGGCCACAGGAATAGACAGCTTTAAAAGGGGATTAGATAGATTTGTGGCGGTTCAGTCTATCAGTGACTACTCGACATGGTGAAAACCTCTACGTTCAGAGGCACTAATCCTCTGAATCCCAGAGCGAGGAGGCAGCATCAGGGCCTTGGCCTCTGTGCCCTGTTGTTGGCCGTCCAGAGGAGCTAGTTGGCCACTGTGTGAGACAGGATGCTGGGCTAGATGTTCTATTGGTCTGATTCAGCAGGGCTCTTCTTATATTCTTATCCTCTGCTTGAACCTACAGTCCATTACAAGGTATAGTCCTGTGCTTGCTCAAGCCCTCGGAGACCGGAGGTGTTATGATTTATTTCATTTATTTACAGATTTTCTATCCCACCTGTCTGCTCTTACAAGGGCTGCCAAGGCAGCTAACAACTGAAAACATACCGGATACAATTACATCATAAAACCATTAAAACGTTTAAAGCACCCAATGATTAGCATGTAGATGAAGCCCAGGTTGTTGTATTTCTGAGGACAACTTTGGGACTGCCTCTCCTGGTATACCCCCCCCCCCAAAAAAAAAGAGCACTCCACTCAGCTGAGGAAAATCTTCTGGAGATCCCTGGTCCGAAAAACATTCGGCTGTCCTCAGACGGAACCAGGGCCTTTTCAGTCCTGCCCCTGATCTGCTGGAACTCTCTGCCAAATGACATCTGTGCCCTGCGGGACCTGGTCCACTTCCGCAGGGCTTGTAAGGCAGAGGTGTTCTACCAGGAGTATGGTTGAGGACAGCAATGGTTTTTAATTAGCCTGGCCCCTTCTTCATAGAATCATAGAGTTGGAAGGGGCCATACAGACCATCTAGTCCAACCCCCTGCCCAATGCAGGACCAGCCTAAAGCATCTCTGACAGATATTCGTCCAGCCTCTTCTTGAAAGCTGTCAGTGAAGCGAACCACTTCCCAAGGCAGCTGATTCCACCTTTGAACCACTCTGACCATGAAAACGTTTTTCCTAATATCCAGCTGATACCTTTCTGCATGTCATTTAAACCCGTTGCTTCGGGTCCTCTCCTCTGCTGCCAACGGGAACAACTCCTTGCCCTCCTCCAAATGACAGCCTTTCAAATATTGAAAGAGAGCAATCGTGTCCCCCCCCCTCAACCTCCTCTTCTCCAGACTAAACGTTCCCAAGGCCCTCAGCCTTTCCTTGTAGGGCTCAGTCTCCAGACCCCTGATCATCCTCATCGCTCTCTTCTGCACCCTCTCGGTTTTGGCCACATCCTTTTTGAAGTAAGGCCTTCATCCACTTCCCCCTTGGGGTTGATTTTAGATGCCATCTGGAACAGTTATTCTATCTGTTTTACTGTTTTTAACTGTTTTAAACTGTACTTTTGAATGTTGTACACTGCCCTGAGCCCCAAGAATGGGGGATAGCGTGGTCTAGAAATCATCATCATCATCATTATTACTATTTCAGGGTGGAAACTTGAGCTCTGACAATTGTGATGGGCGTACACCGCTTCACGTTGCATCCTGTGAAGGCAATCTGGAGACAGTCACCTACCTGCTGGAGTGTGGCGCAACAGTATATGCCAAAGACCGATTCGGAGCTACCCCACTGATGAACGCTATCAAATTCAGGTATTGTTTAAAAGGGTATTTTTGTATGATGCTTCGTGGGAGAGCAAGACATCTGCTGCTTTATAGAAACCCTGTTTCACTGAACAACTTTGGGCCCATGCAGCAAGCACAAATGCCTAGTGTTTTCTGTTGTTTTTCCTGAAACGCCATCTCTTTGAGAATGTTCACCTTCCCCCAGCCCTGGAGATGCAGCAGATATCACTGTGCTGTGAGCATACCTGCTGCCAGAGGATGTGCTGATGGCCTCAGGCACAGACAGCTTTAAAAGGGGATTTGATAAATTCATGGAGGATACATCTGTCCGTGGCTACTAGCCATGGTGACTAAAGGGAACCTCCACGTTCAGGAGCAGTCAGCCTCTGAATCCCAATGCCAAGTGGCGGTATCAGGGGAAGGCCTCAGCCTCTGTGCCCTGTTGTTGGACCTCCAAAGGGTTGGCCACTGTGTGAGACCGGATGCTGGACTAGATGGACCCCTGGTCAGATCCTTCAGGGCTCTTCTTAAATCTCTTTTTGTTAAGAGGATAACTTTGGACTGTTGAATGGGCTAAGGGGACACTGCAGATTTTGTGAAACAGCTAAAAAATTCTTGTCGTGACATTTTTCTGAAGACCTAGATGATACCCAGGAAATATTTTGGTCGCGTATAGTCAGATGTGCCGTCACCCCTCTCGCTGTCCAGTATAAAAACATGACGGTGTATGCGAAACCAGGACACGTCTATTAAAAATCTCTAAACCCAGAAAGGAGTTTTCCAGTGTTACTTCCAGGAAGTTCCTTTTCTCTGCTCATATTCTATCCTTGTCCCCCCCCCCGTCCCCATCCCCCCGT